CTTTCCTGTTGTAAGATTTATTTTATTGTTTATTGACCATCATTAATCTTCACTCATCACCTGCTGCGCCGCCTAATCATCATGTTTCACATCATGTGTTGATTTTTCACTGTTCAGCGTCAGATTCTCTGTTTTTATGCCATAATTCACATCTAGTTCGTCGCTCCGTTTTATGTCCCGCTTCTCCTGTTTCAGAGTTTTGCGCGATGTGCGCAAAACGTATCGAAGCGTATCGATGGGGAAAAGGCAGACTGACATAAACCTTTTAAAACAACGGAAACAATTTCGGTATTCTGATTATTGAAATTTAAAAGTGCTGTGTTGTTCTATCACCCCCGTTTCATACCGGACCTTACAGCACCGATGTTAACGCTATAAAATGAACGCTCTCTATCGTGGTGTCACCATGGAGGGATTTCTTTATTTCTATATTTATATGGGTTCATTTTTCAGAGGGATACACAGTGAGGGTATCGTGATTTTAGCTACCAGTAGCAGGAGAACGGAGCTGCGCCAAGAAGCTAACAAACACTGAATAGAAGAGCTGCCATGTATATTGTTGCAGCCAAGCATGATTTAATGTTACACAATACAGTTTTACCAAGTTGCTCAAAGTCTAAACTGGGATTGTTGTGCATATAAGGTGTAAAGTTTACCTTCGACCAAACGCCCCCCAAAGGCATCCCAGCGCCCCCCTTTTGTAAAAATGTCCACCAGCGCCCCCTGCCGTCCTCTGAACGCCCCCTGGGGGGCGGTACCATCCACATTGAGAACCGCTACTCTAAATGGAGCCCAGTTTGAATAGGATCTTTATTGTTCCACATAGACAAACAATATCAGACACTAAATGACAGACACGAGAAAATAAACAGGAGGAAAATCTTGGAGGTCAGAGGTCATCATCAGGATCCAGTCAGTCTTTTTAGACTCAAACTGCTGCAGCTTCAACCTCTGAGGATCAGCAAGACACAGAGACCGTTCTCTACTTTACAGAGATCATCAGTACAACCTGCAGAGAGAAGAAGGATGGAGAGAGCAGATCAGTTAGTGTTTCCAGCCTCTCTCCAGCAGCAGTCAGTCATCTACTAGATGGTTTCCAGGTTTCTCAGAGCTGTGACAAAGATGAACCTGATCAGTTGTTTCCTGTTGAACTGAGAGAACAAGCAGATCTGAGACCAGATCTGCTGCTGCCACAGTTTGATGAATGAGGACCACTGTCTCTAGACATGTTGGACGGCTGGACACTGGCGTCCAGCTGGACTTGACGGGAGACATGGACACAGCAACAAGACTCATTTTCACACCAACACAAACAGGAACACAGCAAGCTGCTGCTCCTCTGATTGGCTGATTGCTGTCTCTGTGTCCAATCAGGAAGCCTGAACCATTCTCCTCCCACTGAGAAGCTTTACTGGGAACACTGGAGCTTTGCTTTGATGCTAACTGGGTTTAGTTGAATATGCTGACAGCAGCTGGACTTACTACAAACATTTACTTACTGTAAAGTCTTTACAAAACAGTTCAGCTGCTGAAAATCTGAATCCTCCAGGTTGTTTCCATCCAGGTTCAGTTGTGTCAGATGGAGGCTGTTGGACTTCAAAGCTGAGGCCAGAAAATCACAGCTGATCTTTGACAACCCGCATCTGAAAAACCTGAATAAAAAAAAAAAGATGAGCTGAAGCCAACAGGATGCAGGTGAACCAGTCCAACAGAACCAGTTAAAGATTCTCATGAATATTAACGCCATCAAGCTGCTGCTTCAATAAAGACCTGCTGACTTCAGAACCAGAACCAGAACCTGGTACTGGGTCATGTTGTGTTGG